TTAAGATAATTTATTGCAAAAAATACCTATAACTTCTCAGTCAGAAGTAATAAATTAAAATATTACGTAACAGAACCATATACAATTACATAAAATCAATATTTTATTAAATTAATTATAGTGATTAATCAATTATTGAAATAAATATGAAAATGTTTAAGATTGAGGAAGCAAGTTTTGTATCTTGATATGTTATTATTTAACAAGCAAATATCCGTGGAAATAATTTGGAAATAACATGATACTTACAAATTGTCGCCGAACGTTGCTATTTTCTAACTGCTTGTTAAAAGCTTGTATTTGTTCCACTGTTGTGAGGGGAAAATTCGGTAAAAGAGAGGAATCAATTTCTTGTACTTCATTTTGTACTTCTCTTCTATTTTGTAAAAAGTGACTGATCCAGTTCATTTTACGCTCAAGTGTCGCAAATTTTGTATAATATTCTTGTCGGCATTTTCCTAAACAAAAACAACAAACATTGAAGTAAACGATTAAAATTACTGAATTAAACTATTATATTTTTTATAATTATCGCTTTTGTATTTGTCACAAAAATAAAACAAAATTTACCACAACAAGATGTGTGCTCTAAACGTATAGACTGATTTTCCAAATCTTCATTATTTACACTCTCATCTCGATTATCATCTCTTTTATCATCGTATGACTTTGAACCACTCGTATCGTGCATTTCACGCGTGGTATTATTTGGGATAGGATGAACTATCACATCTGACAATACTACTGGTCGACCAATTGATTTTCCTGTACATTTTTTACCGGGTACATAAGGATAGAATTAGTTATAAATTAATTTCAAAAACTATTTATACCTACATATTATCCAATAAGTTTAAAAAAAAAGCAATTAGTATAATACACGTAGCTCTATTACTGTACTGCATACTTTGTAAATCATAAGAACCTTTGTTTATTGAGTTTGAATCATTGTTGTCTATTACTACATTAAGCCATTCATCAAAGACTGTTTCCAAATTAGACTCCTCATCATTTAATTCAATGGATTCGCATGCTGTAACACATACACATCTCGTATATAAATATAATCTTAATTTAAATGAAATAAAAGTGTAATACCATTCATAAATTGGAGAATATTTGCAAGTTCTTGTCTTTCATGAAAATTAAATCTTAAACAGTTTTAAAGTACAATGTAAAAAAGTCTCTATGATTTTTCATCACTAACTTTGATATTAACTTTTGACATAACAAAT